AGGCAGATGATTGCGGTATTGAACATATGCGTGAATTCGAAGTCGGTGCCTAGTTAGCACACTGCGCTCACAAACTGAGTCCACCTCTTTCGCGTTTTCATAGTCTCTGGCCTTTGATCGCCCTCAAAGGGAATCTGGTAAAGCGAAATATTCTTCTTCGAGTCAGGGGTACTCGAACAACCCCAAACCACACCGAAACGGCATTTTATCAGTTTATTTATTTATTTATATATTTTTTACTTAAAAGATCATAAGCAAAAGATTCCAAGCCTACTTCGCTTCTTTGATAAACTTGGACTTACTACCATGACGTCACGAATATTCAGGTACCAGTACTCTTCCACACGGCCAAAGAGATACCGGAAGCCCAAATTCGGCGCCGCAATTTCGGACTTTTTTTGTCGCGTAAAATAACAAAGCACCACCAGAATCACCCACAAATCTTACCAAACACCTTCTTTATGGTTCTATTTTTATGATTTGATGCTTAAAATTAGATGTCATAGGGACTTTAAATTTATTTCGTGTCACTCCGGCGCATCACTAGTAACCGCAAACAAAAAGTTAAGAATACGCCAATTGGGTTCCAATGGAAGCTGATTAGAGGCTTTCTACCGCTGCCTATCAAGCACCCTAACGCCGTCTGTCTAGGCTGCGAACACTCTTTTTGATGCTCCAAACTACATCTCCGAGACTCTAGATTTAACCCTTTTTTCTGAGGAAGCATGCGCCAGACCCCTCAGGGAAAAGGCCTCACAAGGTCCCTTCTATAGGAACAGCCGCCTTTTACACACCAGCGGTAATCGCTTATGGAAAATGTCATTGACACCTCTGCGCTAAGTGCGCCAGGGATATAATTCAAGAGAAAGGTAGCCTGCAGTTTGGGATGTAAGGTTGTGCGCCCTGGACATAAAATGCGATACAGAGCAACACAAGACCTTATGGTTACCATGATGCGACGCGCGCTTGACAGGAGGTTTGTATCGTTCGATTACTTGTCTATAAATCTGGTGAAAATCCAAGCCATCTTCGCAGCGTTTTAAACAATTAACATTTAGTCCATAGCTTTATTGTTATTATTTACCAAAAAAAAAAACCGATATTTTATTGGCAATTATATAGAAAAATTCACTGCCTGACGAGTGAATTCCACGTTAAATTTCACGCGAAAAACCGATATCGCGCGAATCGCGAAGTGATGAGTGCGATATCGGCCGGTTTTTCAAGTGAAATTTAACGTGGAATTCCCGAGTCAGGCAGTGAATTTTTCTCGAATCGCATAACTGATTAAAAA